GAAAGAGCTTCCCCCTGGAAGTCCTGCCGCTGGGGCAGGAGGTGTGTGTGGGGTGGGCCGTGTGCCATCCCCAGAGGGTCCCTGCGTTTTTCCTTCGTTCTTCCTTGCCCAGTTCCCGACCAGCTCAGCCCACGCTGAGGAGTCAGCAGGGCGCCCCTGGGAGGGGGCTGCTGCTTGTGCCACGCTGCACTCATGGGGAAACTGAGGCACGGAGGACCAGAGGGAGCTGAGCTGGCCCCAAAACTCTCGGCTTTGGCATGGGCCATGCAGAGCAGTGCTCATAGCCCAGTACCAGCACCCCTATTCCTACTCTGTCCCCAGTTCTGGAGCACAGCAAAGCACCCTTCAGCATCCCTGCAGGATGGACAGGACTGGCGTGGCTTGGCCCGGTGGCACAGCCAGGACAGGCAGTGTTGTCCCCTTGGGGTGGGTGTGCATGGATGTACCTCTCCCTTCCTGGAAATGCTGCCACAGCAAACACTGGGCAGACTGGGATGGTGGGGTCACCACTGGCTTTTGTCTCATTCACCACGCATAGTGATGATGGGTGCGGAGCTGGGCATGCTGCATCATGCAGTGAGCCATCAGACAGGCCATGACATCACACCTTTTTGGAAGCCATCAACCTACTGGGACCTGCAAAAAGGATGGCAAGACCTGGGGGAAGAAGGGCAAGTGCTCCTCGCCCAGGGATATCTCCAGCCATGGCACCATCCTGAGGACATAGATCACTTCTTCCACGAGGAGGAAAGATCTCCAGCTGCATGTCTCATCCCACCACGGTGAGTCTCATGGCCTCACAGCCATCCTTGGCCAAGGGCTCCCTTTGGGGACACCTATCAAGGCCATGGGGCTTGGAGCAATCTGGTCTAGTGGGAGGTGTCCCTGCCCATGCAGGGGCATTGGAACTAGGTGATCTTTAAGGTCCCTTCTAACTCAAACAAGTCTATGACTCTGTGGTTCTAAAATGAACTCACTTTCTTCTTTTCTTTGGGGAACAGGAGATAGGAAGATTTTCTTTCTTATTCTGTCTGAACCCATGTAAAGCAGCAGAAAGGGATGGGGTTGCAAACACTGCTGTGATTTATATATCGTGCTGCTGGGAAGATGAGAGGCAACTGAGGGTGAGATGAGCAAGTTGCTGAGCCATGGAAGTCAGTTAGAAGCTTTGCCTAAGTAAATGAATATTTTTTTAGTTTGCTCAGTGTCTGGACAAAGTTGTGCCATCTTGGCTTTGCTGGGGAAGAAGACAGACCCGAGTGCTCCCCAGGTTGCCTGCAGATGATTTTCCAAGATGAGTTTCCTGGGAATATTTGAGAAGAGACCAGGCAAGGTTACATGACAGTAAACAGATCAATAGACTCATGTATCACTGAGGGAATAGAGACAAGATGTACTGGGATACAAAAAGTTATTTAGAGTTGTTTTATCAAGGAGGAGAGTTGGGTCGTTTTGTCCTGCCAAGCCAAAACCATGGATTATGAGCTTTTGCTTCTTTGTGTTTATTTATTTGGCTTTAGCAAGAGAATGATCTCATTTGTTGCTTTGCTTTTCCTAAAAAATGAGTGATGGCTTAAAAAATTTCAAAATTCCTGGTGGCAAATTTTTATGTAACTGCCCAGAAAAACAAAACAAAACAAAACAAATCCCATCTTCTTCTGCTCTTTTATACATCCCATCGTGGTCTTTTTGTTTCTGAGTTCCCAGGTCTTTCCTGCTTGTCTCAACTTGTGATCAGAGGGCTGGAGCAGCTCTGCTGTGAGGAAAGGCTGAGAGAGATAGGGTTGTTGAGACTGGAGAAGGCTCCAGGGAGACCTTAGAGCACCTTCCAGGACCTGAAGGGGCTTTTAAGAAAGATGGGGACAGACTTATCAGCAGGGCCTGTAGTGATAGGACAAAGGGTGATAGTTTTAAACTGAAAGAAGGGAGATTCAGGTTAGAAAGGAAGAAGAAATTGTTTATGCTGAGGGTGGTGAGACACTGGCCCACGTTGCCCAGAGAGGCAGGAGATGCCCCATCTCTGGAACCAGTCCAGACCAGGTTGGACAGGGGTCTAAGCAACCTGATCTAGTTGAAGATGTCCCTGCTCACTGTGGGGGGGGTTGGACTAGATGGCCTTTAAATGTCACTTCCAACCCAAACAATTCTGATCTGATTATTCTATTCTGTGATGTAACACAAATAAAGGAATGTATGAGGCGAGTGATGCTGTCCTGGTTTGAGCCAGGATGAAGCCAATTTTCTTTTTGCTGATTTTTTTTTCCTTCAGTAAGCTTTCTTTTAACTAGCAACAGTGTGCTCGAGCTAAAGCTGATAAGACAGAGGAATGTTTCTGTAACTACTGAGGCTTCAAGGTCGCACCTTCACTCTGCTGGCTCAGACACTACAAGGAGATCTGTGACCCCCTGGTAGGAGGCTGAGTTAGATAGACAGCAAAATTTGCCAGAGATATTCCATTCCATGTATCTACATAAGCTCAGAGGAAGGTCAGAGATCACAGAAGATAACCTCCTTTCTTTTTTTTTCTCCCCTTCTCTCCCGTCCACGGCCGGCATCCAGGGACGACTCCGTCCATCCATCACCGTCGACCCCGAGGCTCGAGCTCTCCTGACCCTCATAACTCTCCTCTTTCTCCAGCAGCAGCTCTGGGATCCCTCTGGACTGTCTTAATCTCAGGGGACTGCTGTGGGAGTTGCTGGGGGTGGGGGGAGACGAGTGGCTTTTGCCCATACCTGACTATATCTATATATAATTGTATATATTCTCTTATATCATTCATTAGTCTTTAACTAATGCTGTGTAGTTTAGTTTTCAATCCAGCCAAGTCTCT